TGTTTGTTATGATAATGTTCAACCCTACCTATGTGTACCCCGACACTTCATCATTTCCATATAACTATGCTGTAAGGGGTGATGTGCAAATTTATTCTCCAAATTGCTATATGGCTTGTTTGTATAGTAGTTTTTTTCCCACAATGTATAATCTAATTTATTTCATGTTTTTCCATGCTTGTGTCTGTTTCCATTGTCACTAGAGTTGAATCTCCAACTATATCTTATATGTTGAAGTCTGAAGTATGTTATCTATGTTTTTTTCTATGAATTTTATAGATTGGGTATAAAATACATATCTTTAATATGTCTATATTTAATTTTTGTATCATCTAGGCCCTAGCTCCTGAAACCATGAATTTTGACCTCATATGGGGTTTAATGGAATATTTGTCTTATAAAGAAGTTTTAAAATTTTTGTTCAGAGAAATTTAATTATTATTTATATATAGCTTGTGTCACATAAAAATTTCTCAGAGAAAGGGATTATGAGTAGATAAAATTTAGGAAGTACCAATCTAGGAAGCAACAGGAGCTCTGGCCACTCAATATTTCATCAACTACAACATTGTTATTAGCCACACACTTTTAAAAATGCAGGTGCTTGGATTATTGCAAATCTCCAGTGAAATCATGGTATAAGTTGTGCAAGATATATTGAAAGACAATGGTGAGAACAGTCATTAAAATGTTATGCTCTCCCAGAGAGGCAAAAATGTATAGTCGAAGTGACATCTGCACTTGTTTGTTCATTGCAGCACTCTTTACAATAGCCAGAAACTGGAAGAAACCTGAATGCCCAAGAACAGATGACTGGTTAAAGAAACTTTGGTACATCTACACAATGGAGTACTATGTAGCTGTTAGAAAAGATGAAGTCATGAAATTCACATACAAGTGGTACAACATGGAAAGTATCATGCTAAGCGAAATGAGTCAGAAAGAGAGGGATAGACATAGAAAGATTGCATTCATCTGGGGGATATGAAGTAACAAAATATGAGATTAATACCCAAGAATAGCTGAGATCAGCACCAGGAGGATTATTCCATAGCTTAGTGGCCAGTAGGGCACTCTAGAGGAAAGGGCAGCTCAGATAGAGAAGGGAACACCAAATAAAGGGTGTTTGGAGGATCCTCCCAAGAGGGGAGATGCATGTCGAAAGTAGACTATGGACTGAACATGTTTGCCACTCAATGCCTCTTTTGCAGACCACAACACCCAAAAGGAGAGAGAGAACACAGGGGATTGCCCTGCCACAGAGGCAGGGGGAGATGGCGGGATGGGAGTGGGGGGGATATTATCCATGGTGGTGGAAAATGGGCACTGGTGGAGGGATGGGTATCTGATCATTGTATAATCAAACCCAAGCACAAAAAATTGTAAATCTACAACTGTACCTCATGGTGTTTCACTAATAAAAAAAATTTAAAAAAATGTTATGCTCAATGCAAAGAATATAAAATTTGCCCAGTATGAGCTTGCACAAAAGAAGTTCCCAAACACCCAAGAAAATAGCTGAATGCACATATATACAGTAGGGCTAGAACGATAGCAGAGTGGATAGGACATTTGCCTTGCATGCCGCTGACCCAGGTTCAATTCCTCAATCCCTCTCGGAGAGCCCGGCAAGCTACCAGGAACATCCTGTCTACACGGCAGAGCCTGGCAAGCTCTCCAATGCATATTCAACATGCCAAAAACAGTAATAACAAGTCTCATACTAGAGATATTACTGGTGACTGCTTAAGCAAAATCGATGAACAATGGGAGGACAGTGATACAGCGATATATATATATATAGCATATAATGTATTTATATATAACTATGTAGCAAAGTTCTATAAAAATCCCCATATTGTATAGTTGTTTTAAATGTTACTGCATCTAAGTACAAAAGTAAATTATGTAAAAGTAAAAAATCTCAACTCGTAGAAGAACTTCACTTTAAATATAATTTCTTTCCTCAGAAAAATATTTTATAAGAAATCCTGAGTAACATATATGAATGCAAATGTGACTTTAAAATGTAGATGCTTAGATGTGGGGCTAATAGAATGACTAAAAGGAAATGAGTAATAGAAGGTTTAGTGGTTCTATAGAGTTGACTAAAGGCAACTTCTAGAAATATTTAACATATAAGTCTACCTTTGGTAGAAAGTGAATCTGCTTACATAAATTTAACTGTTAGTGACATGGTTTCTAGTTATCTAAAGTAAATTTATATATTTCAGCACTTTCCCCACTAATGAAATTTCACTTGGATTTAATTGTTTAATTTTATTTGACTAGAGGACATCACTGGGATTGCCCATTAAGCATTCCCTTTCCTATTTGCATATGTCAGAAACAGAAGTTGCAGTAGAAGTTTCCAATGCAGTGTTCTGATATACTTGAAACCTTGGATTTACACTAATGGCTTATGAGCCCCTGGCTACTCGTATAGCTAATGGTTTCCAAGTAACTGACAGATGTTTCTAACGCAAGCAAAAAGATTTTTAAGCATAGTTACTTTCTGAAAATAACTATTCTGGAGGGGTTAGAGATACAGTACAGGCTAAGGTACTTGTCTTGCATGTAGTCGACTGTAGTTCTATCCACTGTACTGCATGGTCCTTGACCAAAAACAGGTTTGAACCCTGATGGCAGAGCCAAGAATGAACCCTGACCAGCACCAGTTGTGGCCCAACCATATCCCCTTGAATTAAAAAATAAACTGTTCTGGACAACATAAGTTAACTCTGAAAAAGCACTGTAGCACTGTAGCACTGTCCTCCCATTGTTCATCAATTTGCTCAAGCTGGCCCAGTAACATCGCCATTGTGAGAATTGTTGTTACTGTGTTTGGCATATCGAATATGTCACAGGGAGCTTGCCAGGCTAAATGGACATTAATTACGAATGGACTTCAAAAGAGGGGACTAACATAAGTTATCACTGTAGCTCTGTCCTCCTGTTGTTCATTGGTTCGCTCAAGTGGGCACCAGCAACGTCTCCATTGTGAGACTTGTTGTTACTGTTTTTGGCATATCAAATATGTCATAGGTAGCTTGTCAGGTTCTTCCCTGCGGGAGGGATACTCTCGATAGCTTTCCGGACTCTCCGAGAGGGATGGAGGAATTGAACCCAGGTTGGCCGCATGCAAGCACCCTACCCACTGTGTTACCACTCTAGCCCTATCATAAGTTACCATAACTTAGCAGTATTTATCTATTTTTCATTAGTTCAAAGAATATCAAGAAATATAGGGATCAATGAAGAGAGAACAAAGTTATGAATAAAATAAATTTTGGGTCAAATTTGCTTTGTAAGTGACTAACTCTGAGGAAATAATGTGCACCCTTCTCACCCTGAGAGTTTCTCACCTACAGAATGGATAAAAAATGAACATAATAGATAACTTGCAGAATCAGATAAGAATAAATAACAAATATATAGCCTCATACGTGTCAGGGCTTCAATGGATGTGATTTTTTTATTATCATCTCACTGTTTTCTAGTTATTTTCATAGTGCACATACTTATTTGTCTCTATTTCCAAACTCCATTTCTTCTCTAAGACCTCTCTGGATCTACTAGAGTAAACTATAGTTATGGCTAAGGAGATAGTTCAAAGGGCTTATGCACATGCATTGCTCACAGGAGGCACAAATTCCTTCTCCACTGCATGATTCACCTAAGTACTGCTGAAAATAGGCCTCTAACAGGTGTAACTCAAAAACCAAAAAACCAAACAAAATAATACATTCAATGAAAAATGGTGTTCTTTTATTTTCCTGGCTGGAGAAAGATTGCCCTAAAATTCTGTTAAAGTTATAGGAAAGTAATTTGTATTGTGGATTTATAAATGTATGTATGAAGATCACTCAAGTTCTCTTTCATTAATAATTCCAGATTTTTTCTCACCCTTCCTTAAATGGATGGTTGTACTAAAACCTTATGTATACAGTTAATGGTAATTTCCTCTGGGAATGCTCACATTACCTATGGGCCCTTCCTCCCCACCTTAAAACCGAGTAGAAATAGTTTATCTTTCTACTATATATTTTCATTATACTCAGGTATCTTATCAGTTAAGTTCTATGTTATCTATAAATTCTCAAAACATAGCACAACTTCTGGAATGCAATTGGTACAAGATGGATATGAATTTAATTTGAAATGGGTATGAATTTAATTCGAAATTATAGATAATAAGGCAATGACCTATTTTTGTTATTTATTACCGATTCTTTCTTAAAGTTTGCAATACATGTCAATGTAGTGCTATTTTAAAAGTTAGATTTGGGGATGGCGTTGGAGGAAAGAGAATCTTTAGTTTCCAGGTTTTAAATTTTATTAGTTTTTAATTAGGTAACAAACATATTCACTTCAATCTCAAGAATGATATTCTGTAAGCATTAACTTCGGAAGGATAAATTTGAAATGATTTTTAAACACAGAAAACTAGACAAAAACCTACAGTCACTTTCTTTGGCAAAACAGTGGGGTATTTCTTTAGTTGTTGGCTTTATCTTCTCAATGTGAATTAAGAGCCACATGTAAGAAAAGTTTATATTAAAGATCCTAAATTCCAATAGAGTCAGCAAAAGTTTTGTATTTTATAGTGTGATTAATTTCTAAAGTCCTACATCTTTTATTTCTTTAATTCTGCAGTCACATTAAATGTGAAGATATGTAATTCTTTTTAAAGTCTTTCAAATGCTCAATGCACAGTCACTGCTGCTAATACACAAGTAGAATTACCTTGCTCACCACATGGATATTTGAGAAAAAACATTTCTGTTGAATACAGTTTGCTTACATTTCAGTACATATAACTTTACTTAATTTATTATAATAGCAAAAGCCACAACACACACGCACACACACGCACAGCGGCGGCGGCAGCAGCAGCAGCAGCAGCAGAACAACAAGAGCAGCAGCAACAGCATGGAGCTAACCACTGAACTCAAAAGACAATGCAGACAAAACTTGAGTATAAACCAAGATTGTTCTACCTCTTTTCATAACAGGTTAGTGCTGGCCCTCAGTGTTGGTGTACAGTTTTTATGACATGGGAAAATAGGGATGTTTCTGCCCTATAAAAATAAATGTGTTGAAGGCTTTAGTTTGAGCTTATACAATGTCAGAAAGTTCCAAAGGCACTGGTACAATACAAAAAAAATCCCACAAACAATATCACCAAAACACATGGCAAGATAGTAAGTGCTTACTGGTAGGAAAAGTTCTAGTGTCACAGATAATTTGTGCAACTGTTTTCAACACCTTGAAAAATAGAGTTGGAGAAGCATGCTAGTGCATCTTTAGTGGGGAACATCAGTCACCTACCACAATTCATACCAAGTCTTTGATTTTAAACTACTCAAAAGGTAGGTATTTTTCTCCCCGTAGAAGCAGAAAGCACAGGCTCTCATTGTTTTTTATGTTTTAAGTCTTAGGAAGTGCTAGGATAATAGCATAAAATGCATGCATTATCTTTTAAAAAGAAGTGTATGCATAAGAAAAATATAAAGAATACACATTTCTTAAATTTATATATAATAATATGCACTTACAAACCTTATTTTGAAACAAAGAAATTTTTATGTAGGGCATATTTATCTAGTTTAGAAATAATTGGGACAGAAAGGTAAGTAGGAAGTATGAGGTTCTGAATTTCTGTTACAACAAATGATACAAGGTGGGCAATGGGGCTAATAGGAGGGAAATGTATACCAAGTTTAATGATCTTTAGTTACTTAAAAAATAACTTACCACATTCTGTGCAAATTTTTCAAAAGATGTTCTGCGATCCATTGACTGTTCCGACTTACATGTGTGGGATTGGGTAGGGCAAAGGAAACAGGGAAATTTAAAAAAAAAAGGAGGAAGAAGAAAGCAAGGGAAATGATAGAAAAAAACAGGATGGTAAAATGATACAGCACCAAATTTATGTTTTATAAGGCCAGGAAAGATCATGGAGTACTTTTAGAGAGTCTCTTGCCTCAGAATTGGCTATTTTTACTCGCACTTTTATTTTCTGCACTAAAATTCTTCATGTGCAAACAAGATCAGTGATTTTTAAGCAAAATAAAATTACACTAAAATGAGATAGATCAAAGCGAAGGGTTTTTGTTTGTTTTGGGGGAACATACCTGACACTCAGGACTTACTCCTGGCTCTGACACTCAGAGATCACGCCTGGCAGGGCTTGGGGTGTCAAGGATTGAACCTGGGTTGGCTGTCAGCAAGGATGCAAGGCATGTAAGTGTCCTACCCACTGTACTATCTCTCCAGATTTATAGATTAAAGTTTTATGTTGATATTTGCAAAGTCTAAATATCCAAAAATCTTGTGACAAATATTCAGAATTTCTCCTAATTTTATATCAAGAATAGATTTCTGTTGATAAAAAGATTAATTTTATAGAGCATTGCTGTCAAATATAACCTTATGATAAGATAGAAAATTTATTCTGTAAGGTTAAATATTTCATAAGCTTTAGATGTGCCTATTAATTACTTGAAAATTGATTAGAAATTTATGGACTATTAATTATTCTAAAAAAAAGATTTTTAACCCTCCCATGTGGCTAGTAGTTGCTTTAATAGACAAACATTATTTAACCTTTTGCTTTCTGAGGATCTATATCTGTTCTGCATACTGGTCCACTGACAACAGGTATCAACAAGGCAATAGACCTCTTCAACCTTTCTACACCTATTGACTGGCAATAGTCCATAGACCCATGACTAAATATCACTGTATTAGAAAGTCTCTTTTTAACTATAAAAGTATTTCTTTCCAGTCTCAAGAACAATAAACTGTGAAAATTCACTTGAGTCTACATGATGATAATGAATTATTAAAAAAAATCACAATTTAATCTCAGAATCTTGAGATGTTGGGGACTATCTTAATCTTAAAAATAATTTGTTATGTTAATTTAAATCCAAATGTTTCATATTCTGCTGAATGGATTGCATGATATATTGCCAGCAAGTGAGACTTTATTATAAGCATAGGTTATCTAATGACATCTACAGCAATTTTATTAGGCATTATAAAATTCTTGATAGGGATATTAAGTGATTCATGATAAATGCCAAATAAAATATTCAGCAGCAAACTTATTTTGGTAATTACTATCGTTAAAAGAACTGGCCTGCCTTTAGTTATTGGTACTGTGGGTATTGTGACCTAGAATTTACTGAAAAATCTTTCTTTTCTTTTTTTTTTTTAACCGGATTACATGATTCTTTTTTCTTTATTCTTTTATTTTTTTTAATTTCTTTAAAATCAGCATACAGAAGACTAACGTGAAACATTAAAACAGGTTCTAAACAGTTCTATAAAGCATGAACATCTGCATAAACAAAAAAAGAAAAGTGATCAGCAAACAACAACAACTAAAAAGGTGCTTATAAATGCAAAGGTCCAGGGAGGGTTTTGAAATGCATCCACTTACCAATGTCCAGTATGGTAGGCCCAGAGATAACTACCCAAATTAATTTTAACTGAGAACTAAGCCAGAAATGTCTCAAAGAAACAAATACCTTTTTCTTTGCCTGTAGAAGCTCTTGATAGGCACTGGACCTTATAAAACGTGGATATGAATCACTTTTCATCAATTTGTAAATATGTTCCTACAAAAAAAATTCACTGTTTTATTATTTCTCAGAAAAGAATATTATAATAAAAATAAAATGTATGGTTCTAAAAATCTGAAAACAAGTAAAAATGATAGTGATAATCAAAATATCTTATGTTCATAATTTATGTTATTGTTAATTGATCAGTGTTTAAACTGGTCTGAGAGATAGCAAGTATGCAAATTTCACAAAGTTAAAAAGAATTTATTTAGCAGATTATTATAAAGTCACAAAAATCATGGTTATAAGTTCTAGTTATCAAATTTTAATATCTTTATATATAAACATTAGATACCATAAAACTTTACTATCATGTTGTTTCATTTATATCATTTGGCAATATGAATAAATATATTGTGTTTTAAAATTACTCAAGGCTAAATGTGAATGTTGTAAAGTGAGTAATCATCCTAGGTCACTGTCACTGTCCTTCCATTGTTCATCAATTTTCTCGAGCGGGCAGTCTCAGTAATGTTTCCACTATGAGACAATGTTGTTACTGTGTTTGGCATATCGAATACATCGCGGGTAGCTTGCCAGGCTTTGCCGTGTGGGCGACATACTCTCGGTAGCTTGCCAGGCTCTCCGAGAAGGGTGGAAGAATAAAACGTGGGTTGGCCACGTGGGCTGCATGCAAGGCAAATGCCCTAACTGCTGTTCTATCGCTCCAGCCCAATCATCCTAGGTACCTTTGATATTTTCATGTACTTGGAGTTTGCATACTGTCCAGATGAATTATCTCATTACAAACTATATGGAAAATTGTAATCCACATCCACTCTATGATGAGAAACAAGTTCATAATTTTTGTGACATTTAATTGCTAACCATATGCATGTTGCAGGCCGAAGCCTCTTCCATCCTTGTCAAGGGGAGTGCTGGAGTGATAGCATAGCGGTAAGGCATTTGCCTTGCACGCCAACATGGCCACCCGAATTCGATTCCTCCGCCCCTCTCAGAGAGCCCGGCAAGCTACCGAGAGTATCTCGCCCGCACAGCAGAGCCTGGCAAGCTACCAGTGATGTATTCGATATGCCAGACACAGTAACAACAAAGTCTCCAATGGAGACGTTACTGGGCCTGCTCGAGAAAATCGATGATCAACGGGAAGGCCTTTTTTTTTTTAATTGCTAAATCTCCCAAATTATATATGACTTATTCACTTAGTAGCATAATAGGTAAACTTTTAATAATTTAAGCCAGACTAGTCTTCAATGTTCTTTTTGGATGGTAAACAAACAAGTCAAAGGAAAGAAAATATTAATTTAATTCAGTATTTGCCCTCTAGAAAGATTGTGTTCTGTCCTATTGCAGCTCAAGGAAGCATAAACAAGTGCTCCTTGGTTTTTCTAGTCTAGGGAAATATCAAATAGACTGAACTTTCTGATAATTAAGAGTTTGAGAGTATTCTATATAACTCAATCTCTTCTAGTATAGAGAAGATATTTAGTTTAAGAAATGACATTTCCTGATTTCATTTATCATGATTATGTCTCAACAAGTAATCTAAAGTTTCTATAAAGATCACATTTTGGGAACTGTAAGAGATGTTGGAAGAGTAGGCAAAATTTTGTTTTGGAATGAAGGATTTTGTGATTTAGCTCCTATATTGCCCACTATCTGCTACTTCAGTATACATTTAGACCATTCAATTTATATATCTAAGCCAAAATTTTCTGATTTAAAGAAAAAGGGTTGTTATAAATATTAAGGCAATAATGTTAGCAGAGATTGGGGATGCACATAATAGGTACCCAAATAGATTTGAGTTTATGCCAGACATAGTCTTAAGTGCTTGCCTTTATTAACTAATGATCACAAACATCTGCTAGCTTGGTAACTGCTATTACCACATTTAAATATGAAGAAACTGATGCAAGAGGTCACATACAGAATACTAGAATTCAGGCAATGCACTTTGTAATCTGCTTTTTTAAAAATTGTAGGAATATTGCTATTTATTCAGCCATTGATTAAGCTGACTGAAGCAGGCATGTTCACATTCCACATTACTTTTCTTTTAATATCCATGAGATAGACCATTACAAAACTTTTCATGATTGTGTTTCAGTCCTACGATACTCCAACACCCATCCCTCCATCAGTACACATTTCCTGCCACCAATATCCCCCATTTCCTCCATTTCCTTCCCACCATCAACACCCCCCACCCCCAGGCTGCCTCTGTTTTCTTCCTTCTTTCTTTCTTTCTTTCTTTCTTTCTTTCTTTCTTTCTTTCTTTCTTTCTTTCTTTCTTTCTTTCTTTCTTTCCCTTCCTTCCTTCCTTCCTTCCTTCCTTCCTTCCTTCCTTCCTTCCTTCCTTCCTTCCTTCCTTCCTTCCTTCCTCCCTCCCTCCCTCTCTCCTTCCCTCCCTCCCTCCCTCCCTCCCTCCCTCCCTCCCTCCCTCCCTTCCTTCCTTTCTCTCTCTCTCTCTTTCTCTCTCTCTCTCTCTTTCTCTCTCTCTCTCTCTCTCCTTTTCCTTTTGTTCATTATGGTTTGCAATAACAGGTACCAAGAGTGTTTGTTCAGGGCGTTCAGTATTTTTTTCAGGACGATAAGGCTTGAGTAGTTCTTTAACTGGGTGGAAGCTTTGGGGTATGGGTAAGACTGCCAAAGTTTCTGGAAGTACAGGGAGGTCGGGGCAGGAGGGCATCCTGACCTATAGAGTTCAGTCACAAAACCCGCATACCCAAAATTTCAGCAGATTATATCTCAGTGAGGTCCATCCTGAGACAGTGGAGTCAGGCCAGGGTCATGGCAGCAATTTTGGATTGTGGAAGCAGGTGACTGCTGAGGACTAACCCACCCTCTTAGATTTACCCAAGTAGGTACTGCCTTGCGCATGTCCGAGATTCACTGTGGCTTTTAATCTCTTTCAAGGCTTATTTATGGGTCTCTGAAGAAAGGCCGGTAGAAGAGTTTACATGGTGGCACTGAAACTGGTTCATGGGGGTGACTGCCAGTGCTTCCAGGACTATAGGGAAGTTGGGGGAGGAAGCCCATCCTAAATCTGAGAAAGCCTGGAGATTTCAGTCACAAAACCTACATATCTAAATTTTCAATAGGTTAATATCTCTGTGAGGTGCATCCTGAGACCTTGCAGTCCAGCCGAGGGCATGGTGGCAATTTCGGATTGTAGGAGCAAGTGGATGCCACGGGCTCTGCTTGGGTGTACACCAGGCTAACCTGGCCCCCTTCTATTTACCCTGGTCTGTTCAGCCTTGCATGTTTCTGAGATTAATTGTGGCTTTTGATCTCTTTTGATATATTTTTACAGGTCTTTAAAGCAAGGCAGATAAATGAGCTAGCATAGCTGAGCCGGAGGTGGTTTGTTGGCGAGGCTCCCACATACCTAACTTTTGATGGCTTAATTTCTTAGGAAACTTGGTCCTGAGTTGTTGGGGTCCAGCCAGCGGCATGGGGGCAATTTTGGAGTATCAGGAAGCCTGAAAGCACCATCAGGTTGCTGATGCACTTGATCTGTAGGGACAGGTTGACCTGTTGGTGGCACAGAGCCCCCATAATCTGCTTTCTTAACTCTAATAGTTTATCTTATCTGAAACAATTGTAGCACTATAGCACTGTCCTCCTATTGTACATCTCTATTCGCTCAAGCAGGCACCGGTAACATCTCCAGGGTGAGACTTGTTGTTACTGTATTTGGCATAACGAATACGCCATGGGGAGCTTGTCAGGCTCTGCTGTCCTGACGGGATACTCTCGGTAGCTTGCCAGGCTCTCCAAGAGGGATGGAGGAATCAAACCCGGGTCAGCTATGTGCAAGGCAAATGCCCTACCTGCTGTGCTATCGCTCCAGCCACTGAAACAATGACATAAATTTATTTTTCTAACATTATATTCCTGAAGACAAGATTAAAAACCTAAAAAATACTGATCTTAGACCATCTGATGTGAATTGAAAGAGAAGTGTATAGTAACATGATAAAATTTTTTGTAGGAACCTATGTATTTCATTTCACTGAAGACTTAATGGACAAGAATATCTTGTCACAGATAAACATTTTTTTTTTAATTTAGGAAGGTTATCACAAACATTTTATACGTTTGCTTACTTTATAAAAATGTTTAAATTTCTATCCCAACACAAAAGAAAAAAGAGAAAAATAGTACCAGGGCCAACTTTCTCATTTTGTTCTCTGTCATATATTCCCACACATTTCCATATGGCAGAGCCCTGCTGTCTACTTAAATATTTCATCTTGCATTGAATTGTTTTCCACACAATATGTTTTCAACTAATGTCAAGAAAAAAGTATGTTTTGTACCAAGAGTTAAAATAAAGAGATTTGTGTGTCTCATTTCCATGTTATTAAAAGAACAAGAAAAAAATTAGAGGTAATATTATTCTCTAAAATAAGCTAAAAAATTGTGAAACAGGCATGTGTTGGTTGAAAAGTCAATTTCAACACATCATTAAGAAATAATATTCTCTAATTACAAGTTCATTTTTCTTCGTGGACAAAACATTTTTGGAAAAAGTAGAGATGAAAATTGTTTCAAAGGATGCAATTATATCTAATTGAAAAATCTAGAAGAGAATTTTCTAAACAATGTATCTTTAAAAAATTGGTATCAATTTCCTTATCCTTTTTTTGTCGACTAACAATAATGACTTTGAAAGTTAATACCTGTTCCAATTATAAAGAACAAATTTGGTTTGATTTTGACATAAATTTCATCAAATTAAATTTAATAAATTATTAAATCATAAATTTAATTTGATGAAATTTATGTCTGACATTCATAATTTAAGAGGGTTTTTTTTTTGCCTTTTTTGGTAGTGCTTGGTGATGTACAGGGGTAACTCCTGGCTCTGTACTCAGAAATGACTCCTGGTGGTGCTAGGAGACCATATGGAATGCTGGGAATCGAACCCGGGTTGGCCGTGTGCAAGGCAAATGCCCTACCTGCTGTGCTATCACTCCAGCCCCATAATTTAAGAGTTCTTAAGCCCTCATGTTGGAAAATATCTCACAAGCTTTCAAATGTATGTTATTGAGGTGGCATATTTATTAGGTAAGTGCTTAGATATTAGATAACAGTAGAAAATAATAGTTTTCAAATATTACTCTTGAAGAAATCTAATGTAAATGTATTCAGATTCATGGAGCTTTGGCTCAAAGGGCTGGTTTTTATACTTTAGTTGCCTGACCGCTGGTATGGACTTGATCCCAAATACTGTATGATCTCCTGAGCACTGCCAGGAACCAAGCTGAGGTAATTCCTGAATGCTGTGTGTGGCCCAAACACTTTCCCCCACCAAAAAAGAAAAAAAGAAAAAAATTCAAATTCACCAAACACCCCAAACGTTTAAAACTGTTTTCTTTTATTAATTTACATATTTATTTAACTTTTAATGGTTTGAAGTAGCATACATTGTTGCATTTTATAAGTTTAGGAGTGTTTTATTATTTGTAAAATAGGTTTACTTTAAAGTGAATGATCTTTTTTTTTTTTTAACCACAAAAAAAAGGACTTGACACATGTCAGGTAAAATAAGCTACTTACAAATAGATGATTCCATATATACAGATTATCTAGAATAGGAAGATTCATTGAAAAGTAAAGTTGATTTAAAGTTACCAGGGTTTCTGGTGAAGGGAAAACATAGAATTACTGTTTAATACACATAAATTCTGTTTGGAGAGATAAAAAAATTGAAAATAGTAGGCGATAGCTATAATTAATGTTACTAAATCAGTAAAAGAACAAGATACTACAAATAAAAAATAGTTCCCAAATAGGCCATGAAGTTTATTTAATCCAATCACAGTTCTTAAGTTAAATACCTTGATGAAGGCTTTATTCCCACATTTAAGATAAAGCTATCTTAACAATCTCAGGATCACATTTGTGACATGTACCAACCTGAGCATCTTCAAATGTATATCGTCCAGGTTCCTTCACATTCTGTGTAGTTTTGTCATAACTCTTAGAATCCAAGTTAATGGCACTGGGGGCACCTGGAGCCAGAAATTCTTGCCATATTTCCTGAACTCGGGAAGGAACTTCTCTAATAGGTCTTTTCTTCAGGTCTTCCACTGCTAGCCAGAATCTATGCAAAATATGATGCCAAACCTTATCCAATGCCATGTCTTCTGAAGATTTTTATAACGTTGATTGATCATACAATCATAGTAATGCATAATAATGAACTTACTTTCTTGGAGGACTTCCATTATAAGCCTTTTGCTGATTAAATTTTCTTACTCTCAGACTGGACTGAGAGTACAGTGGGTAGGGTGTTTGCCTTGCATGCAGCAGACCCTGGTTTGATCCCTGGCACCCCATATGGTTCCACAAGCCCACTAGAGTGAACTTGAATGCAGAACCAGGAGTAAACTCTGAGCATGACTGGGGGTGACCCAAAAACAAAAAAACTTTTTTTCTTACTTTACGATATACTTTTAAAAAAGAAAATATTGAAAGAAGTCTCTTTAAAGTGTTATTCAAAGCAGGTCTTCTAGTCACAATCCTACACAACTTTGATTTTAATGTAAAAAATACTGCATTGTGAGTGAATCATTTTTTAGAAAGGTGTAAGAGTTTGGAAGATATTTATGGTGAAATACATAAAGCAAATATTGAGGAGAGTATATACTTGAGATATCCTTAACGCAAACTCAAAACTAAAATGCTTTTAAAAAAAGAGGCAAATGGAACCGGATTGACTGCTACTTAGAAGATGGTTATCAAAATTTAAGGGAAGAGAATAAGAACTACAGAAATCACAGGGATATATGGTAACAACACACAAAATCCCTATAGAACAATGGCAATATTTATTTTATATCAATAATTTCATCAGGTGTCAATGGCTTATAACTCAGCAATGTAAAAAACATAATGAGATGAGGTAAATCAGATAACAAAGTCTAGCTTCTGCTAGTATAAAAGCCACACTTGAGCTCCAAAGATTAACATAGACTAAAATTAAATGACTAGAAAACAATCATAGAGACAAATAATTTCCTATATGGACATCAAAAAATTCAGGGAAGTAATATTTGTATTAAATAAAATTCAAAGTAGAAAATTAACAAGAGACACAGTGCATATCACATCTGCTTAAAGAATCAGTTTTTCAACAGAACCTAATAATATCGACATGTTCACAGCAAAAAGCATCAAAACGAGGCTGGACTGATAGTACAACAGGTAATGTGCTTGCTTTGCTTAGAGTTGATGTGGATTGAATCCCTGGTGTCCCATAAGCCCCCCCTATACCCACCAGGAGTGATCCCTGAATGCAGAGCTATGAATAAGTCCTAGGTACCACCAGGTGTAGCTCACCCTTCCCCCCAAAGAAAACAAAACAAGCATGCAAAGCAATTATTAGTAGATCTAGAGATAAAGATTTACAACACCATAACAATAACTGGAGTGTTTATCACCTCGATTTTCCCAAAGAATTCACCAACAAGGTAGAAAAAAAAAACCAAGGAAACAATTTTAAATCAGGGTTTAATAGATATTTATAGCATATTCCACCCCTAAAAGCACAATATACATGAATACCATGAATTCACAATACACAATATTTGGAATTACATGTAAAATATTATCTAAGATAGGCCACATATTGGGAAACACACAAAAATCAATAAATATATGAAAATTAAAGTATCAGCTATATTTTTAATCATAACACCATGAAAGTTGAAATCAACCATAAAAAAGTTTTTAAAAACACAAATTTATAAAAACTAAAGAAGAAGTTGAGTAGTGATTTAGTTACTGGGGTGGACTAAGATATCAGGGTTGACTAAGATATTAGAGGAGATTAGAATAGAACTTCTGTAAATAAAAAAGGAATAAATACATGATCTATAGAAAGCAAAAGCAGTTCTAAGAGGGAAGTTTATAGGAATTCAGGCTTATATCAGGAAACAAAAAAAAATCATCAATACAAAGTCTAATCTCACACTTTAAAAAAAACTATAAGAAGAACAAATAAAAGCTAAAGTTAGTGGAAGGAAGACATAATAAAAATTAAAACTGCCATAAAATAAATAGAACTCAGAAAGATAATGTAATCAAGCGTGTATTTAGAAGATAAACAAAATTGACATTATTAATAAAATTAACTAATTTTAAAGAGGTAAACACATTCAGAAACAAAACGTAATATTATAACAGATGCCAAAGAAATGCAAAGAGCTATGACCAATCACTATGAATTTATGGCATCAGGATGTAGAATTCAGAAATAATAGACTAACTTAGAGATTCCTCTATTCTCCCAAGAATGAATCTAAAGAAAAAAAGACCTAAACCTATCATTTAAATGCAAGAAAAATAAGAGTCTGAAAGATAGTATAATAGGTAAAGTTCTTGCCTTACACCAGGTTCACCTGGATTCAATCCCTGGCACTGAATATGGTGCCCTGTGATGGCTAAGTAGAGAGAAGTAAGTCCTGATTACTGCCAAGCATCACCCACAAAACAATTCTTTTTTAAAAAATCAAGTAAAATAAAGCTGTAATCAAGGTATTCTAAAACCAAAAGTCAGGTTCAGTTGGTTTTACTCGTTAATTCTACCAACCTCACCTCCTCAAGGTTGACTATCCCCCTCATCTTCTAAACCATGAAAATATTCTCCCGTATATTTTAGAAGGCAAATATTACCTTGACACCAACAGCAAGCAGAGACATAATAAAAAAATACAAATAAACACAAATATTTCTGATGGGCATTGATGAAAATGTTCTCAACAAATCTTAGTGAATCAAATCTAACAATATAGTAGCACTGTAGCACTGTCCTGTTGTTCATCGATTTGCTCGAGCAGGCTCAGTAATGTCTCCATTGTTGATACTATGTTTGGCCTATTGAATACATCACAGGTAGCTTGCCAAGCTTTGCTGTGAGGGCGGGATACTCTTGGTAGCTTGCCGGGCTCTCCGAGAGGGGCGGAGGAATCGAACTCGGGTCAGCCATGTTGGCTGCGTGCAAGGCAACAGCCCTACTGCTGTGTTATCGCTTCAGTCCTGGGTCGAATCTGGGTCGAACCTGGTCGGCCATGTGCAAGGCATGTGCAAGGCAAAAACCCTACCCACTGTACTATCACTCCAGTCCCTCATTTGAAACTTCTTAGGAAATTGTACACCAGAATCTCTGGGCGCCCTAATATCACACCAAAAAAGGATTTTTTAAATCATATGATTGTGTCAATAGAAACAAATCTTTCAACATTTACTGTGAAATACCAGTTATATATGTATATAAAGCTAATTAGTTTTTATTAAATGAAGCTTATAAATAAATGAAGAGAGAAAGGAGGGGAAGTGAGAGAGAATACCAGGTATGTATTTTAAGTACTAAATGATATAACTCAGAAGCTACATTTACTGTTTCCTGTTTTACATTAAAAAGTAATTAAAAACCCTTTTAACAGAGAGAAGATTTTGTATCTGGTAAATAAAAGGAATATTTCATCAACACTTCCCTTTCTCTGTCTTAAAAAATGCTTATTTTATTGGCCATTTACATAAATAACATTCTCTTTTTTTTTCTTTTTGGGTCACACCTGGCAATGCATAGGGTTCACTCCTGGCTCTGCACTCAGGAATTGCTCCTGGCGGTGCTCAGGGGACCAAATGGAATACTGGGAATTGAACCCGGGTCGGGCGTGTGCAAGGCAAATGCTCTACCCACTGTGCTATTGCTCCAGCCCCCATAAATAACATTCTTAGAGGACTACTGAGAAACCACATTAACACTTTTTCAAATATGTGTAATTAACAGAAATAATGAAATAACAGGGGCTGGAGCAATAGCACAGAGGTTAGGGCATTTGCGTTTCATACGCTGATCCCAGTTTTGTCTTTGAATACAGAGCGAGGAGTAAGCCCTAAGCACTGCCAGGTGTTGCTCAAAAACACAAAAACCAAAAAAGTATATAAAAATAAATAACATATAGGAGGACAAAAAATGGTAGGTCTAACATACATTATTTCATATGTCAGGTGTTCACAAATTAATTTCTATTTAATACAATTTATATATCTGTTTATCATTTAGTTATGTATCTATTAATCTGTCTGGCATGGAAGCAAATAATAAGCATATTTCAATTACTTACTAAAGTACTAAAACATATAAATATATTTATCTACATTAAATGAATATGAATGCAATATTCATATATGTTTATTACATAATACGCAGAATATACTTTGCAGTGGTACAGAATTACTGAAATAAGATATGGCTAGGACTTGAACTAAAAATTAGAAGTAGCTCCATTCATTCATGAAACATGAAACAGTTTGCAAATGCTATCTCTCAAAGCTTCACGCAATGTGTGCACGTGGGTGTGTGCATTTGTGCCTAGTAACTTCCCTCTCATCATTATCATCAAGTTCTGAGCTGAGAAGACATTATCCCAGATGACTTTGCTGACCATCAACTCTTGAAAGCTACCTCTGTAATTTTATCTAAAGAACCATAATTTTGCACTGTACTCTGTCTTCCTCCTTGCAAACAAAACTCGTAATTAATGAAACCAAGAACCATTTTTACATGAGAAAACACTGTGAGGCTCATCAGTTGTTTATTTATTCATAACAACATCTATAATCTCAGCATTTTTAAATATAAGATAATAAGAGGAAACTCTACTCTCTCATTCGATATAATGTTAAAAATATTCCCTAGGTACATGATCAGTTAATCTTCAATAAAGTGGCAAAAAATATGGAGTGTACAAGAAAAATCTCTTCAGCAAGGGGTGCTGGCAAATTTAGGCAACTACATGAAAAAATTAAACTCAGACCTGTTTAACATATTGTACAAAAGTCAAATCATAATGGATTGTAGACCTTAATATCAGACCTGAATCCATAAGGTACATCAAGGAAAATGTAGGCAGAACTCTTCATAATGTTGAAATTAAAGGATGAAATAATACTGACCAAGCAAGTGAAAGCAAAGATAAATAAATGAGACTGAATTAAACTAAGAAGTTTCTGCATCTTAATGGAAATGATGAATAGGATACAAAGAAAACCCACAGAATGGGAGAAATGATTTATCCAACACTTACCTAACAAGGGGTTAATAACAAATATATAAAAGGCACTGCTTGAACTTTCAAGAAAACAAATCGAATCTTATCAATAAATGGAGAGAAGTAAACCGAAACTACCTTAAAGAGGTACAAATGGCAAAAAGCCACAAGAACAAAATTCTCTGTATCACTAATTATCAGAGATGAAAATCAATATAACAATGAAATATTATTTCATGCTACAGGGACTGACACATATTTAAAAGCACAAGAACAATCAGTGTTGGTGCAGATGCAGGGAAAAGGGACATTCAACTCAGTGCTGTGGGGAATACCAACTGGTTCAGCCTTTTTGGGGAAACAATATGAACATTCCTCTCAAAAACACAGAAATTGAGCTTCCATAGGACCCAGCAGTACTACTCCTAGGGGCCCAAGAATACAATACAGAAAAGGCATCTGCACTCCCATGTTCATTACTGAACATTATTGTACTGTTTACAATAGCAGGATCTGGAAACAACCCAAGTGTCCAAGAACAGATGAATAGATAAAGAAAAAAATGGTACATCCACACAATGGAATACTATACAGTCATTAGGATAAATGAACAATAAAATGTTCTTATAGATGGATGACATGTAGTACCATACTAAGTGAAATGAGTCAGAGCAAGAGGGACAGACATAAAATGATAGCACTGATTGGTAGGATATACAAAAAATAAAACCCATAGAATTAGAATAGTACCCAAAGACTATAAAAACAAGGACCAGGAAGACCAGTTCACGGTAGGAAGCTTGCCACAATGGGACTGGTGCAGGGAAGTTATTTAGAACAGAGAAGAAACCACTACAATAATGTGAGCTGGAAATGATCACCCTGAGCAAGAATTGACTGCTGAAATGATACCTCTTTTGTAACAGTACTGCAAACCAGTGCCTAAAAGGAAAAGGAGAGGGAGTGGGTTGGAGGGTGTGGAGAAAAAGAGAGACAAGGACAGACAGAGACAGAGACAGAGAGACAGAGAAAAGGAGAGAAACAGAGAGAGAGACAGAGAGAGAAGAAAAGCATCTGCCATAGAGGCAAGGTGGGATCAGAAGGAAACTGGGGACCTTGGTGGCAGGGAATGTACACAGGTGTTGGAACATTGTATGACTGAAACTCAATCATGAACAACTTTTTAACCGTATATCTTATGGTGTTAAAATAAAAAATATTTTAAAATGCTAAAATTATCCTTCTTCATTATTTTGATGTATTTTATTGCACTCAAGTATTGATGCTATAAACTCAGTACAGAAAATTTTACTTAGTATACTCCATACAAGTCCTTAGCAACTGTAGATCTCCTAAAAGCTCAGTCAAAAATGATAACCATTAAATACTAAAAAATTGTGTACCAGGCATCCATGAAAGAATGTTATTAGTAATCTATTTAAGCTGTCTGTTTCCAGGTACCTCTGAAGTTAGAGAAATTTAAAAATTATTTAAGAATCCTGTTTATGATAGATGGGCAAAATCTGTAACCCTCTCTTTCTAACAGCTCAAATACTGCTGATTTCAGCTTTACTAAGGCTATGACTTTAACTGTATAAAAAAACTTTCAGTAGAGTGTTCTCAAGTTATTTTGATATATTTTTCTCTACCTTACTAGAAAAATAATATGCAAAAAGGAAAAATAATATGCAAATAAAATAAGAATGTATCAACATAGGTGATGTTTAAATTTAACTTCATAAATATTATTGGCCATTCTCCACTTTAAGCATCACTATAAGGATCATACTTCTTTATGGAGTCTATCTAAAATGAACCACAATATGTATGTTTAATAAGTGACCAGTATTGTTGGGCAGGTTTTGCCTATTTACTCCACCCACTCCTTCAAGAGGCAGAAATTCAGTGAGAACATACTACTATTATACTTGTAGGAGTGTAATTCTTTTACTTAGCCCTATGTATACAGATAGATGCAGCTAAACCTCTTTGGTCTACAGCATAAGATACAAATAATAAGTCTTACCTTAAATTTTCTGAACTAAATTCTGACTCTAGAAATTTGAGGAATTGTTCTCTTCCAACTGGGTCTTTCAAAGCTTCATCCATGCCAAACCCCCATCGCTTTACCCTTTGCTGACTTGGTTCTTTGCTATAAGATAGGAAACAAAGCCAACAATATTGATTTCATTGCAAGTCCTATATTTTTCTATTACATTTTTCCTTAAAAATACAATTCTATGAAGTTTCTTGTATTTTGATTTTTGGTTTTGAGCCATGTTGTGCTAGAAATTGAACAGAGGAGTCCCATATAACTCCCTTTGAGTTATCTCCCTAACCCAAAGTTGCTATTTTTCATGTTTCAGAAAAAATTTCTCTGATGTATGCCCCTATATAAATTAGAGTAAGGAATAAGTTAGACATTACTAAGTAATTTTGAGTGTGTTTCAGATACATTCTTTTAGATTCTTTCTCTCTTTCTCTTTCTCTCTTTCCCACCTCCCTTGCTCCTGTCTTCCCTTTCATTCTCTCCCTTTATCCACCTCTTTCTCTTTTCTTTTTATCTCTCTCTCCTTTGCTTCCTTCCTCCCTTTTCCTTCTTCTCTCCTTCTCCCTTTTTCTCTTTCTGCCTCATCTGCAATGCCCAGGGGTTATACCTGGCTCTGAGCTCAAGAATCAGATATGGCGGGCTCCAGGGATAATATTGGGTGCTAAGGGATCAAACCAGGTCCGGCCCAGTGCAAGATAAACATAAATGCTGTATTATCATACCCGCCTTGCCAGCCCTTTTAAAATCAACTTTATAAAATAGATGACATTATATTTTTCCTTTGAATAGGGCTGGAGCGATAGCACAGCGGGTAGGGCGTTCGCCTTACAAGCGGCCAACATGGCCGACCCGAGTTCGATTCCTCCGCCCCTCTCGGAGAGCCCGGCAAGCTACCGAGAGTATTGGATATGCCAGACACAGTAACAACAGTCTCCAATGGAGACGTTACTGAGCCCGCTCGAGCAAATCGACGATCAACGGGAGGGCCTTTACCTTTACCTTTTATATAAATAATAGAGGTCCAAGAACTATAACTTAAGACAATATTAGAGACATTTTGACACTGAACACCAATTTCTTATCAACTTTACAATGTTGTCACATGATGGTATGTTGTATTGGGAAAAAGTTATACTGGAAAAGAAAAGGTCTAAATCCTAATTTTAACTCTATTATCAATAAAATGTGTTGCCTAATATTAGCACAGTCATTATATTTTGGGGTTCTAGAATTTCATGTATAAAATTTGTAGATGAAAATTGCTGCATATGTAAAGTGTTCAAGGATAACTGGATTAATGTAACAGAAAAAATACATAAATATAGTTCAGAGACATACTACAGAATACTAAATCTTAATGCTACAAAATGATAAGAAGTGATATTTTTGTGACTTTCAAGATTTGTGATATGATTTTTTTCCTTCATCATGTCAGAAATGAGAGCCTTAATTATGCTTTGGTTTCTTAATGAATCAGTCTCTTGTCAGATCTCTTAATGTTTTTTTAGTACATTAATTTTGCTTTAAAATTAAATTTATTAAGATATACATATATTTGGTTTAAGTAAGCATTGTTTTAGAATTTATTTCACTTAAAACTTGAATATTTGTGGTTTTGTGGATTTTCAAGAAGCTAAACAAAATGAGCTAAATTTCAAAAGCAAAAGATCTCAATTGTGACTGTTTGGAAATATTTGTATTCCTATGTATGTCCATGTCCTTTCAGAAATAGGAGTCTTAATAGAAATGCAAATTTCTAAGGTTCAGAACAATCAGCTATATCAAGAAGTTTGGCTATCATCGACTAATAAAAACAAACTGTAAAATTACCATTATGATTAATCAGTTGTAGAGTTCTTAGTTTACTGCAGTCCTGAAATTAATGCCATTTTTGGAAAGAAGGGAAAGTATAACCTACCTTGCTTCAAGTTCCCATAAAGTAGTGTCATCAGACAGCCATGGATTTGAAGGATCAGGAGGCACAAGAAATGGGTCATATTCTAAATATTGTTCCGTGTAACTTAGTAAACTAGAGAGAAAAAAAAAGTCATTTCCTTTCTTTTAGCTTTCTGTCTGATTGTACATCTAGTCCAGTATGAGGAAAACAATATAAAAATGTCTGAGCAAGGAATCATTATTTACAGAATAAAGCCGTATGGCCATTTTTATATTCTAATAACTTTCATTATTTAAAAATGCATCAACTTCCACCCTGGGAGGAGAAGCACGCTAAAAGTAGTCTATAGACCAAACATGATTGCCACTCAATGCCTCTCTTGCAAAACAAAGTACCCAAAAGAAGAGAGAGAGAACAAGGGGGAATACCCTGCCACAGAGGCAGGATGGGACGGGGGAGATGGGGGGTGGGGGTGGGGGATGCTGGGACCCGTGGTGATGGATGACGGGCACTGGTGGAGGGATGGGCACTTGATCATTGTATAACTGAAACCCAAGCACAAAATTTGTAAGCCTATAACTGTACCTCATGGTGTTTCACTAATAAAAAAAGAAAAAAAAATGCATCGACTTATTGTTCTTCCTGGAAGACAAATCTAAGAATTTTTTTCTACCCATGTCTAAGCCATATACATCAGCATCTCTTCATTAAAGGAATTAAATTGGAAAAGGGTTTGGGAAAAAATGTTTTAAGGTTCAGTTTCAATCCATTGTCAACCAGCTATTCAACAAGCAAACTGGTTGTGTCACTTGAAAAAGGGATTTAAGAGAAGGGAGATTCCTGGAAAAACTATTTTAAAAATATACATCCAAATAAAAAGATAGCAAAGAAAAGAAGCTTGTTGGAGGGCACTCAAAGTGAGTGCCATTAAGATTAGATTCGAATGAAGAAAGATATCTAAAATCAGAGTTTAATTCAAATTCTGATCATGCAATAACGAAATAGTATAAATTTTAAAACAGATTTATAGAAGCTCTAACTTGACAAACTTGTAATATAAATTAAAAACTTCAGTTCTCCTTGCAGGGGTTAAAAGTTTGAACTTTAAATAATCTCTATGCCTGATTCTGGTTGTACAAGGATTGGACTTTGGATCTTGATCATCTGTCATTTAAATTACAAGGAAAGTTCCTTGAAGTTTTCTATGTATAAAAAGCAAAGCAAGGCAACATTTAAAAATGGATTTCTATTACTTACTAGCTCTTCCACTCCAGAAGTTCTTTTACCATTTAAATACATTCATTTGTGATAGGAATTTTTAAAAAATATAAATGGATATCATGAAATACCTACCTATCAGCAACTTTTGACATTTTTAATCGATGTCTATCTAACTGTATTTGCCAATATTTTATCTGGAAAAAAAATTTAAATAATGGTTAAATAAGTAGTGACATATCAAATTTTTCAACTATAAATTCTGAGAATACAATTCTAAATAATATGTTGTAAATCAGTAAAAAACCAGGGTCTAGAAAGAAAATCAAATCAGAGGAATATGAAAGAGTTACAAAATCAATTAAAATCTGTTTCAAAGTAACCAATGTCACCTTAGAATAAGAATAAGTTAGGATTTTGAGAGAATTATGGTACATCCAAAACATCCAAAAAGCTTACTTAGTATGACACAATTTGGAGAATGCAATAACTGAATTCAGAAAATAAATGTATTTGTTACTACAATTTCAAAAAAGGCCTTGCCTTTTAATAGTGTTTCAACAAAATGTCAATGTTCTGTGTTTTTATAATATTATTTTTGTTTTGAAGCCAAACCTGCTGGTCTTTGTAGATCACTCTAAAGTGATGTTCAAGGATCCATGTGTTGCTGGGAAGCAAACAAGTCTTCGTCCATGCAAAATGTGTACACGCCCCATTGATCTATTTTTCTGACCAGATGCTTAGAATAGTTTTATCAACATTTTTTGACAGAAGCTTAAACAAATATTGAAAACTGCTGTATAAAACTTAAATTGACCTTTACCAAATTTATAAATAGTATTATAATAAAGTACTGGGATAGAAGAGGGCCTAAAAGAAATAACCAAAAAATTAGTTATTTTTGACAGAGGAGACACTGATGCTAGTTTCAAAATATTACATGAAGCTTAAACATCCATCAATTAGCAAAAGCGAAAATAACATATCATATCAATATTGAAAGGAAAAAATTCAAGAGTTATAGAAATCAAATCTATCAAAGCAAGACTAAACACTTATTTATGAAGCTCTTGTCACACCATCTTAACAAGGCTGTCCATCCTCTGGATTCTCAATATTTAAAAAAGTTCTGGAATAAAAACAAATTTTGGTAATGGGGACTTCTATAAATTAATATAAATGATCTTTAAAAATTGTTTAGGAAAAATATTTGGGAAACTAAAGAGTGGACAATTTTATTTAATATTTATTTTTGTTGTTTGATTTGATTTTGGATTGAACCCAAATCTTATTTTAAAACTGAGCTACATTCCTGGCCCTAAAAAAGTGAAGAGTTTTTAAAAACACCTCCACATACTTTGTATTTTTAAATGACCACATCTCTTAAATTTAGATCATTTTATGATCTTTAACCATAAATCCTCTGCATAAAATAGTCAATCATACAAATAATCTTAAAATTTTCCTTCTGTTAATATTCACCACCCGAGCTTCATCATTAATTTTATAGGTTATCCCACCTGTTGTTGTAACTCGTCTTCTGTCGGAGGTTTAGTTTCTGGGGTAGGTGTGTGGGTAGGACTGTGACTTCTTATATCATTTTGCAAGCCATAGACAGACTATTTTAAAATAAAAAAAGAAATATTTTAATATAATTAGCATTTATATCCTTAGAATTTTCTAACTTTAAATATGTATTATATTCAGTAAGTTTTTAAAAGGTAACACATTTTATGATCATACCTTGAAAAAATAGATGATTAGATTATTATCTTTTAGGAAATAATTACATGTAGGAAACATGGTAAATTTGTTAATAAAATTGAAGCAAAATCTGAATAACAATACAGATTAGTATTGATTACATGATATATGTGCTCATTACAGAATAAACAGACAAGTGTAGAGAAGAGAATAAAAATCTTATAAAGCCTAGGTAAGATTAAAAGAAATAATAAGACTTTTACATAGAAGAGAAATCAGGTTAAGAATTCAATTGCTGGATACCACTTCCTGAAATATGTCCTGGGGGTGCAAAAAAGCACAGTAGAAATGACATCTGCGCATGTATGCTTATTGCAGCACTGTTCACAGTGGCCAGAATCTGGAAACAACCCAAGTGCCCGAGAACAGGTAACTAGTTAAAGAAACTACGGTACATATACAGAATGGAATACTATGCAGTTGTTAGGAAAGATGAAGTCATGAAGTTTGCTTATAAGTGGATGGACATCAAAAGTATCATGCTAAGTGATATGAGTCCGAAAGAAAGGAACAGACATAGAATGACTGCACTCATTTGTGGAATATAAACTAACAGAATATGAGATTAACACCCAAATAGAGTAGAGACAAGGACCAGGAATATTTTTCCATGGTTGGAAGCTTGCCTCATGAGCTGGGGGAGAAGGAAGCTGGGATAGAGAAGAATCAATAAATGATAGTTGGAGATGGGAGATGTGTGCTGAAAGTAGATAAAGGACCGACATGATGGCTTCTCAGTATCTGTATTGCAAACCATAAGGCCCAAAAGTAGAGAGAATATGAAGGAAATTGTCTGCCATAGAGGCAGGGGGTGGGGGTGGCGGAAGGGATACTAGGGACATTGATAATGGAAAATGTACACTGGTGGAGGGATGGGTGTTCCATTTTTGTATGACTCAAACTCAATCATGAAAGCTTCGCAACTATCTCGTGGTGATTCAATAAAAATAAAAGAAAAGAATGAAATTTCTGGGGCTAGAGAGATAGTTCAGTAAGTAAGTTACTTGCCTTGCTACACAGATTACCCAGGTTTGGTTCCTGTCACCCCATGGGTCCCCCAAGCCCACCAGGAGAGATCCCTGAATGCAGAGCAGAGCCTAGAGTACCACTATGTATGACTAAAAAGCAAACAAACAAAAAAAAAAACCACCAGAAGACCAACAACTATGTTTGTTTTAATTAAAAAAATATTCCATTGCTGTACTGGTGATATTATAGGAATTAGAGTATTTCCTCACATGCAATTTACCAGGTTCTAACCACAGCATATGGTCCCTCCAGTATTACCAGGATGTTCCCTAAACTCAGAGCAGGAGAAAGCTCTGAACATTACTGTGTATGGCCCAACATTGCCATATAAATACTTTTTTAAAAAAAATTGCATACTTTATCATTTGGTGCAATTTACAAACATCAGTAACCCCAATGATTTTGATGTCTTTGACATCCTTAATATCATGTTCTTTATTACATTGACAAAGACGAGACCTACTATTTATGAAAAATTGATCCATTGCTTAGCAATATAATTAAAAATCTGACACTTAAGGGAACAAAATCCCATCCTGAGTCACATTGTATATGCCTTTCAAGAGAGAGGTCATTATTTTATCTTTAAAATAGAGTAACAAAGAAAAGCATTGTTACTTTCAGTTTATTTTACATCTTTTCTTTGAATTATGAAGGTTCTATATATTAAATTTAGGTCTACAAAAGAATTTTGAAATAAGAGTTTAAATTCAGATACTTATCTCAGAGTCACTTTTAGACTTATCATCAATTTACCATTATGTCTCAGTTCTAAGTTACTTTGTTCTTGACCCATTTTCACTTGAATATTATGTCTTTTAGTGTTAACAGTCTTGGCTTTATATCTAGCTTTGTAAGGACTTATTTTACACTCAGCTTTTCTTTTGCACATTTTAACTTAGGTTTAACCTACTGAATAACACATTTCAGACTGCCTTAAATATACCCAATTCCCACTCTCTCCCTCGTTCAACCTCTTGGTTATTAATTTTTAATCACTTGAATTTATCCATTTGGTCCCAGATAGTTGGAGATAGACTTTAATTTCATTGTTTAGAGCACTGAACTGAGACACTTCCTTTCCCTTGTTCCTACATCAAGTGCATATTAAGTACCAATAATTAGGGACAGATACCCAGGTAATGATAAGGTTCTGAGTAAAGGAGTTTCACCGATGTGAACATTGTTGTGGCCAGAGACCAGGAAAGCTGGGACAGGATGACAGGAACTGCCAGGGTACAGTCGGGAGGATCTAGCAACAGCTACAGAGCCCAGGGATCTTGCCTACGCCCACGCAGTTGTGTTCAGAGACTAAAGAAAGTGTTTACAGAATAGAGAGTGATTTAGGGACAGGACCTGGCCTTCATTCGTGGGAGGTAAAAATAAACAGTTGGGTCGAGACAGGGAGGTTGTTCACATTTTGGGGCAATGTCAGGAACAGTATCAGTGATGTTCATGGGTAAAGGAGGAGAGGCCTGGACATCTGGGGATGTTCCCAGACTCGTCTACTTTAACTATACAATAAACTAACTTTTACAAGATCTTCCAAATTTTGCATACAAATCTTTTATACAATTCTAAGGAACCCACCAGTGCAGGAAATCCACTTTTGCACTAGCATTGTGGCCATTATTTTTTAGTTCTTTAAATAATCTGCTGTCCCTTGGTCAGGAAAGTCTTTATTTTTTTCTTCCTCAGGGGTCATATATATAATTGTATATATGTATGTATATGTATATATATGTATGCACATATATATGTGTGTATATGTGTGTGTGTGTGTGTGAAAATTGTTGTTTGATCTATCTGATTTATCTCTCAGACTAAAGCTCTAAATCCCAAGGAATTCATTGCCTGGGCCCCATTAGCACTAAATTAGCATGAAACTTACTCCTGACACAAGCAGTTCCACACCCATTGGACTGGATTTCCAGGAGTAATTCCTGACTGCTGAGCCTGGGAGTAACACCTAAGCACCTCAGGGCATGGCCCAGAAGGTTATTTATTTATTTACTTATTTTTCCCACAATTTTTTTAATTGGATCACTGTGAAATAGACCCTTACAAAGCCGTTCATGATTAAATTTCAGTCATACAATGTTCCAAGACCCATCCCTTCACCAGTGTACATTTCCCAGTACCAGTGTCCCCAGGTTCTGTCCCATCACCCTCCCACCCCAAAGAGTACTCGAGGGACCATATGGTGTTCCTGGGATCAAACCTGGGTGCTCTTCCTTCAAGGTAAACCCGTTGTAATCTCACTCTGACCATCACATTATAAAAAAAATGTTTACAAACTTTTTTCTTTTGCCCAGTACTTGATTGACTTTGGACGTATGAAATGTGAAGTCTCATTTGAATGAAGTGCATATTAAATTGATTTATTAATTGTATTATTTAACATCCTTCTCCCACATATTTCTATTATATATAAACAGAGGTAGGTTCATTCAACAATAGAATAAGGCAGATCTTATCTGAGTGCTGAGTTTCCCAAGGAGGGAAACTCCTTTCATATGTAACGTAGTAAACTCCACTTTGCACAGATGCAATAGAATGAATCACTACATTTTTATTGCATACCATACATTTATACATTCATCTGTTTTTGGTCATTTGGTGGTTCCTAAATCTTAGCTGTTGTAAATAGTACTATAATGAATAAGGATTATATCTATATTTTCAAATTATTGATTTTTTTCTTTGGAGTAGGATTTTTTTCTATTTGCAGATAATAAGTGGTAATAAGAATTTCCTCATACAAGTGTTTATCTGCACCTCAACTTTTAATTTTTATATTGTTAATTTTGTGTTACTGTGTCTGGCATATCGAATACGTCACGGGAAGCTTGCCAGGCTCTGCCGCGCGGGCGAGATACTCTCAGTAGCTTGCCAGGCTATCCGAGAGGGGTGGAGGAATCGAACTCGGGTCGGCCATGTTGGCCGCTTGTAAGGCAAACGCTCTACCGCTGTGCTATCACTCCAGCCCCAATTTTGTGATTTATTTATATATTTTGAGAATTAGGTTTATGGTGTCTTTTTTTTTTCAGGACGATGTTTTCATAAACCCTTAATTAGGTTTAAAAGGTAAAGGTAAAGGCCCTCCCGTTGATCGTCGATTTGCTCGAGCGGGCCCAGTAACGTCTCCATTGGAGACTTTGTTGTTACTGTGTCTGGCATATCGAATACTCTCGGTAGCTTGCCGGGCTCTCCGAGAGGGGCGGAGGAATCGAACTCGGGTCGGCCATGTTGGCCGCTTGTAAGGCGAACGCCCTACCCGCTGTGCTATCGCTCCAGCTGTGCTATCGCTAATTAGGTTTATGGTGTCTTTTTTCTATTCAGGACGACATTTTCATAATGATATTTAATTATTCTCTATTCAAGAAACTTTTTAGTTTGTTGTAATCCCTTCGTGTTTTTTGTTTTGTTTTGACACCACACCTGACGCTTCTCAGGGCTTATTTCTGGTTCTGTATTCAGGTATCAGTCCTGGCAAGGTTCATGGGACCATACAGAGTGTGGGGACCAAACTCAGGTTGGCAGCATACAAGGCATGAGTCTTACCTGCTGTACTATTGCTCTGTCCTTCCTTTTGTTTATTTTTTCCTCTTTTAATTTTATCTTGATATTGCAATAAAATCTCAAAGAAATTACTAAAGCTGATATTGTGAAGTATTTTGCCTAAGTTTTATTCAATGTATTTTATGCTTTCTGGTCAAACATCAAAGTTTATAAAGGATTTTGTTAGTATTTTGTTCATTGTATAATATAGTCTTTTGCATATGGCTATCAAATTTTTGTACTCTTGCTTATTGAAAAGATTTTTCATTTTATTCTTTTTGTTTCTTGTTATAAATTTGTCACATATGAAAGTGTTTTTTTGGAGAATGACACTTCAATTCTGTTTCATTGAGCGTCTACTTGGATTGTTCACAAGATTCCAATGCCATACTATTTTGATTACTAAAATTTTGTACTAGCTCTAACTAAGGAATTGTGATTCATGTCTTTCTTCTTTTTCCCCCCTGTTGATGTTTGGGGGGACCACATTTACTACCAGCTGTATTGCACTCTGGCCTATTCTTTTTTTTTTCTTTTTTCTAGTTAGAATTGCTTTGGTTCTTCAGATGTTTTTATGGTTCCATACATATTTTAGTACATTTTTTTCTATTTGCTCCAAGAATGCCATTGGAATATTATTAAAGATTATAGTGAATCTGTATAATTCTTTGGATAGTCATTTTAACAATGTACCTCCAATCCATGTACATAAATATCTTTCCATTTTCATGATTCATTTTTACTTCATCAGTGCAGTAGTGTGCCATGTAAAAGCCATTCATCACCTTTTTTTTTCTTTTGATTTTTAAAATTTTTGTTAGTATTTTTGAACCATTCCCAGAGGTGCTCAGGGTTATTCTAGTTTTGTGCTAAAGAGTGAATCCTGAAGGTATTCAGGGGATTCTATATGGTGTCAGGGATTTGAATCAGAATTGACAGCATGCAAGGCAAGCAAATTACCAACTCTATTATCACTCTGACTCCTCATCTGACCTTTTAAAAGTTAATTAATACTTAAGTATGTTTATGCAATTGCACAAAACAACGCTTTTTTAAAAAATATTTTTCTTGTAGTTATAATAGAATTTTGGAGATTGATTTTATGGCCTTTAGCTTTGTTGTACTGGTTTGTGAGTTTTTTTTTTCTGGTGAAATCTTTAGTATTTTCTATGTTAACTATGATATCATCTACAAATAGAGCTAGTTTTACTTCTCTTCCATTTTAGATTCCTTTCCCTTCTTTTTTCTTGCTTATTTTCTGTGAATTTGTACTCTCTGTACTTTACTGCACTGAGGTAAGCTCATTATTTATCATTTTGTTGAAAACTTTTGTGATATGTGAATGTCGAATTTTTTTTCAAAGTTTTTCATTAAGTATTGATACAATTATATTCGGGTTGGAGTGATAGCACAGCGGTAGGGCGGTAGGGAGTTTGCCTTGTGTGCAGTCAGCCTGGCCGAGCTGGGTTTGATTCCTCCAACCCTCTCAGAGAGCCCAGCAAGTTACTGAGAGTATCTCACCTGCACAGCAAAACCTGGCAAACTACCCATAACATATTCAATATGCCAAACACAGTAACAAGTCTCAAAATGGAGACGTTACTGGGCCTGCTCGAGCAAATCGATGAACAATGGGAGGACAGTGGACAGTGGACAATTATATAATTTTTTGTTTTCCTTTTGCTATGTGGTATATCATATTAATTGATTTGCATATATTAAATCATTTTTCCATCCATGGAATGAATTCTACTTGGTTATTGACCTAAGTTTCTCCTAACACATTGTTGATGTTTTTTATATATGTTTTCAGAAATATTGGTGTATAGATTTCATTCCAATGGAGACGTTACTGGGCCCGCTTGAGCAAATCGATGAACAACGGGAGGGCCTTTACCTTTACCTTTTTACCTTTTGCAAGAAATCAGTATTTCACAAAATACTAAAACTTTTCTGTGATGACTTCATTATCTTTAAATTCTACCTCAATAGTAGGTGGAAATTATCACTTTAGAAAGGAACTGAGTGTTGAAATTATGTAAAGGGATATACCTGATACTTTTCAGTATCTGTATTGCAAACCATAAGGCCCAAAAGAGGGGGGGGGAGGAAGAGAGAGAGAGAGAGAGAGAGAGAGAGAGAGAGAGAGAGAGAGAGAGAGAGAGACAGAGACAGAGAGAGACAGAGAGACAGGCAGAGATAGAGACAGAGAGACAGAGACACAATAAATGTTGATTTTTACCTTCCGTGTTTTGTGTGGGTTTCTCATTCTCGATGACTTCTTAATATCCACTTCTGTGGTATTTACACATCCAGGCTAGAAATTTAAAAACAGAGACACAAATAAATCTTTGGATGTGAAGTTTCTGATTAGTTCATTAATGATCTCTCCAGAACCTAAACAAATGCTTTAACAATGTAATTCACTGGCAGTATTTTTAAATGGCCATAGGATCCTAGCCAAGCATCAGCATTAAAATACATTACACTTTTTACTCCTCTTTAAAAACCTTCATATAACATCCTGAAATAATTAACTCCCAAAGAAACAAGGAAAAATGCAGGGTCTTTTCATATGAAAGTAAGTGTTGATGTCAGTAGCTGTGACCCCACAGACTTAGTGTTAAGAGCATCCAGGGCCAACTGGAGTGATAGCCCCAGGGCTTCCCCAGTGTGTACTCATTTTAGTTGAGATCACTCTGTTCATTGTTGCTTGTTACCCAAGTTGTAAAACTGTAATTAGTCAAGCCAGCTCAAATCTCAGAGTGGATGCCTGTTTCCTTTAGACAGACTGCAATGGAAGGCATGAAGAGATAAAGGGACTGCAACCAATATACCATGGTGTGTCTTCAGAGGGAATCATGCTCTTATTTCAGGTAGATGAACATGTTTAAAGTGAGAAATCAGAAAACTATGGGCAGTCTTCTGGTTCTTTGACAAAATAAAAAGTATATTTTGCTAAATCTGCTGCTCCTTTGCAAGAAAACAGCTATAAAGTTGCTTTTTGATAGTTGAATAAATAAAAAAAATCAAAACAAGGAAAAGAAAGGAAAAACAAAAAGGAAAGGTGGAAGGAGGAAAAGAGAAAGAGATGAGAAATGATGTAAAAAAGAAAGAATAGAATCAGAAAACAGAAATATATTTTAATTTGTACAATATGTTTTAATTGAAAAATCTTTAGATATTACATATATTTCAGAAGTTATTGGAAATTTGCGCTTACATTAATTATGTTCCTTTCCTTTCATGTAGAGATTTATGTTAGTAAAATGTATTAATTTATTCATCTTTACTTAATTCCCTATTTCCCCCCATAGATTAAAAAATAATTATTTGTTCTTGAACGTGACACTAGGGGAAACTATGAATGAGCAAAAAAAGGATTTGTGGAGTAGATATTATATTTGAAAGAAAAGCGAAAATTTAACAATGGTCTGATTCTAGAAATAAAAGTTCTCCACAACTATTTACAAGGAAGGATCTTTACTCTTTGTAAGGTGAAAATATAGAAAACACATTTTCTTTTTTTTAAAAAAAATTTTTTTTACAGACTTACAAACTTTTGTGATTAAATTTCGTCATAGTGTTCGAGTACCCATATGTCCACCAGTGCACATTCTCTACCACCAATGTTCCCAGTCTCCCTCCCACCATCCCTACCCCTTCCAACCTCCTTCCTCTATGGCAGGCACATTTCTTCTTACTCCTCTGTCTCTCTGTCTTTGTCTCTGTCTTTCTCTGTCTGTCTGTCTGTCTGTCTGTCTGTCTGTCTGTCTCTCTCTCTCTCTCTCTCTCTCTCTCTCTCTCTCTCTCTTTCTCTCGTTATGGTTTGCAATATAGGTACTAAGTGACCATCATGCCAACATGTTTGGTCCATAACCTACTTTCAGCACACATCTCCCATCCCGGGTGAGCCATTCAACCATCATTTACTTAGTGATTCCTTTTCCTTTTTAACTTAGTGATTTTTATCACATGCCTTTCCCCCCAGCATGTGAGACAGCTTCCAAACCATGGAGCAATCTTCCTGGCCCTTATCGCTACTGTCCTTAGGTGTTAGTCTCCTATTATATTACTTTATATTCCACAAATGAGTGCAGTCATTCTATGTCTGTCCCTCTCTTTCTGACTCATTTCACTTCGCATGATACTCTCCATGTCTTAAATGCAAATTTTAACATTTCATCTTTTCTAGCAGTTGCACTACACACCCACTGATTCTCATTGTTTTCATTTTTTTGATATGTCATCATTACTAGGATATTGTTATATTCATTGTGTTGATTTGTGTTTCCCTAATACTAAGCAATCATGAATTCTTTTTTGTAGGCGTATTGGCCATCCATATGTCTTTGTGTAAATATCTCTCATCTCATCTTTCCGTTTTTTTTTTAACAGGGTTATTTGTTGCTGAGCTTTGTAAGTACTAAATATATTTTAGATGATAGCTCTTTATCTGAATTACTCTGTGAGAATATTTTCTCCAGGTCAGTTAGATGTCTTGTTTTTTAAGCCTGGGTTTCCATCACCATGCAGAAATTTTAAAATTTCATATAGTTTGAAAATAAATTTTATTTGTTTTCAGTACCTTTACCAGTGGAATCAGGTCAGTGAAAATACCTTTGATGTCTAAATCTGGAGTTCTGCCCCAATGTATTTTATAGTTTCTGGTATAATCTTTAGCTCTTTAATCAACTTTAAATCAATTTTTGTATATGTTGTAAGTTATGGAACTATTTCATTTATTTATTTGTTTGTTCTAGGGCCACAGCATGCAAGGCAAATGCCCTACCTGCTATACTATCACTCCACACCCTCCTCTCCATTTCAATTTTTTAACAAGTGGTTATCCAATTTTCCAAGAACATTTGTTGAAGAGTCTTTCCTTGCTCCACTTTAAGCACAGAACTCCTTTGCCAGAGATGAACTGTTTGTAACTTGTGAGGCTTTATCACAGGATCTCAATTCTGATCCACTGATATGGCACTCTATCCTTATTCTAGTACTATGATCTATTGGTTACTGTAGCCCCATAGCATAGTTTAAAGTCAAGAGATGTGATATCTCTAAACTTCCTTTTTTTTCAGGATGGCTTTGGCTATTCTTGGGGTTTTATGCTCCCATAGAGTTTGTTTTAGTTCTTTGAACAATGTCACCAAGATTTTGATGGGAATCACATTTAATCTACATAGTGCTGTGGGTAGAGTTGGACAGAACTTTTGACAATATTAATTATTCTAGTGCATGAACATGGAATATTTTTAAATTTCCTGATGTTCCCTTTATTGCTTTCATAAGTGACATATGGTCCTCATGGTAAAGGTCTTTTAGATCCTCTGTTAATTTGATTCGTAGGTATTTGATGTTCTAGGTACTGTTTTATTTTCATTTTGTTTTCTATTTTAATTGATGCACTGTGGTTTACAATACTGTTAATTATACTTTTTCCATGAATACATCATTCCAGTAGCCCACACATCACCACAATACTTGGGGTGCTATTTTAAATAGAGAAAATATTTTGATCTCCCTCTCTTATAGTTCATTGGTTCAGATAAAATGCAACAGATTGTAATGTATTTATTTTGTAGCCAGCTACTTTGCTGTAATATTTATTGTTTCTAAGAGTGTTTTTAACAAAATTTTTATAGTTTTCTAGATATAATTTTATATTATCTACAAATAGTGGTAGTTTGACTTCTCCTTTTTCTGATCTGAATTTCTATGATTTCTTTTTCCTATCTTATTGACAGTGGTAAGGTTTCCAAGACTATCTTAAATAGCAGTGATGAAAGTGGACATTCTTGCCTTATACCTGATCTCAGAGTGAAGGCTTTTAGTTTTTTGCCATTGAGTATACTGTTAGCCATAGTTTCATTGTAAATGGCCATTACTATCTTGAGGAATATTTTATTTTTAGCACAGTGGGTAGGGTGTTTGTCTTGCATGCAGCCGGCCTGGGTTCGATTCCTTCGTTTCTCTCGGAGAGCCTGGCAAGCTATTGAGAGTATCCCACCCACACAGCAGAGCCTGCAAACTCCCCGTGATGTATTCAATATGCCAAAAACAGTAACAAAAAGTCTCACAATGGAGACATTACTGGTGCCCACTCGAGCAAATAGATGAACAATGGAGGACAGTGCTACAGTGCTGTTAAAAATATTTATAATAAATGAACGCTGGCTTTTTAAAGAGCTTTTCCACATCAATAAATATGATCAATTACTTTTATCCTTTTACTGATATGGTATATCACATTAATTGACTTGTGTCTGCTGAACCAATCTTGCATCTCTAGGATACAACCTCAGTGATTATAATGAATAATCCTTTTGATATGTTGTTGGATTCCATTTGCTAAGATTTTGTTGAAGATTTTTGCATCAATGTTCATCAGTAATATAGGTCTGTGGTTTTATTTTTAGCATGTTTCTGTTTACTTTTGAAATTAGGGTAATGTTGGCTTCATAAAAGCTTTAAGGAAAGATCAATGTCATCATCAATGTTTTGGAAGAGCTTGAAGAGCATATGCAGTACATTTTTTTTGAAGGCTTTGTAGAACTCAATAGTAAACACATCTGGTTCAAGGCATTTTTTCTCGGAGAAAACTTTAATTACAGTTTCAGTTTTCTTGCATGATATTGGTCTTTTCAGTATTCTTACATCTTTCTGATTCAGCCTTATAAGGTTACTTATTTCTGAGAATTTGCTCATTTTATCAAGGTTATCCAGCTTGGTGGCATACAGTTGTTCATAATAACCTCTATATGATTGTTTTTTAAAAAAATTCTGAGGTGTCTGTTGTGATTTCTTCCATTGTATTCCTGATTTTCCCCTCACGACTCTTTCTAAGGTTTTGTTAGTATCATTAATTTTATCAAGAGCCAGTTCTTAGTTCCATTAGTGCTTTGTAGTTTTCAATATCAATATCATTAATTTCTTCTCTAATTATTATGATTTTCTTTCTCCTACTAACTTTGGTGTTTTTTTGTTGTTCTTTTTATAGTTTCTCCAGTTATGTGGTTAAGTAATTGATGAGCTTGTTCTTTTTTACTGATGTGTGCATGCATTGTTACGAACTTGACTTCGTACTTTGTATTTCTGAGGTGTCTATTGTGATTTCTCCTATTATGTTACTTATTAGATTTACTTTCTTTCTCTGTGTCCCATAGGTTCTAAAACTGTGTCTTTATCCTCAGTCAAGAAATCTTTTTATTTCTTCTTTGATTTACCCATTCCAGTATTTATCAGTACGGTCCTGCTGGTTTTCCATTGGGGCGAAACCTTGCATTCAGACAGGTAGCATGTGAAGAGCCG